TAAGAAGCAACATTTCCAAAAGGCTCGTGATCCAATCAAACCATGGCATCCGGCGCAAATGCAAACAAAAATGATCTTCCATCAACTATCTCTGTCAAGTTGGATAGAGGCAATTTTCCCTTGTTGCAATCCTTAGTCTTGCCCATCATCAGAGGCTGCAGACTTGAAGGATACATGCTAGGGACAAAGGAGTGTCCTGAGCAATATATCACAGGATCAGATTCAAGCAAGAAACAGAATCCTTTGTTTGAAGATTGGCAAGCTAATGACCAATAACTTCTAGGTTGGTTAAGAAATTTCATGACGGCAGACATTGCAACACAGTTTTTGCACTGTGAAAATTCAAAACAGCTTTGGGAGGAGGCCCAAAGCCTAGCTGGAGCACATACAAGGTCTAGAATCATCTACCTGAAGTCAGAATTCCATAATACCAGGAAAGGTGAAATGAAAATGCATGATTATTTGTCCAAGATGAAAAATCTTGCTGATAAACTCAAGCTGGCAGGAAATCCAATCCTCAACTCAGATCTAATCATTCAAACTCTGAATGGATTGGATTCTGAGTACAATCCTGTAGTGGTAAAACTCTATGATCAGATCAATCTCAGTTGGATTGATCTACAATCTCAATTACTGAGTTTTGAAAGTAGAATTGAACAGCTCAATTCCTTTAACAACCTGAGTGTCAATGCCTCAGCAAATGTTGCACACAAGACTGATTACAAAGGAAATTGGAGAAATGGCTCAAACGGAAACTGGAGATGCTCCAACTCCAGAGGTTGGAGAGGAGGCAGAGGAAGAGGCAGATTCTCTAAACCTATCTGTCAAGTATGCTCAAAGTCTGGTCACACAGTAGTGCAATGTTTCTACAGGTTCGACAAAACCTACTCAGGTTCAAATCACTCACCAGAAGAGGAAGAAAAATCTGCATTCCTAGCATCACAAGGAACCGATCAAGAATATGATTGGTACTTTGACAGTGGAGCAAGCAATCATGTGACACATCAAACTGAAAAATTCCAAGAAATAAATGAACATCATGGTAAGAACTCTCTGGTTTTTGGAAATGGTGAACAACTAGAAATTATAGCCACAAGCTCTTCCAAATTCAAGTCACTTAATCTACATGATATACTATATGTGCCTAACATTACCAAAAATCTATTAAGTGTATCTAAATTGACTGCTGACAATAACAGTCTTGTTGAGTTTGATAAGAATTGTTATTTTATGAAGGACAAGTTGACAGGAAAGACAATACTAAAAGGAATACTTAAAGATGGATTATACCAGCTCTCAGGAATTGAAAGAAGCCCAAGTGCTTATATATCTGTCAGAGAGAGCTGGCATAAAAGACTTGGTCACCCAAACAACAATACACTAGACAAAGTCTTGAAAAATTGTAATATCAAAGTATCACCTAGTGATCACTTTAGTTTTTGTGAGGCTTGCCATTATGGAAAAATGCACCTCTTACCCTTTAAATCTTCTTCATTTCATGCTAAGGAACCACTTGAATTGGTTCACACCGATGTATGGGGTCCTGCACCAATAATGTCATCTTCTGGTTTCAAATATTATGTGCATTTTGTTGATGATTTTAGTAGGTTCACTTGGATTTATCCTTTAAAACAAAAGTCTGAAACTGTGCAAGCTTTCATTCTATTTAAAGCCTTGGCTGAAAATCAATACAATAAGAGAATCAAAGAAATTCAGTGTGATGGTGGTGGTGAATACAAACCTGTACAGAGAATTGCAATAGAAGTTGGCATAGGCTTTAGAATGTCTTGTCCTTATACCTCTCAGCAAAATGGAAGAGCTGAGAGGAAACACAAACACATAGCTGAGTTTGGTTTAACTCTACTTACACAAGCTCAAATGCCATTCCAATATTGGTGGGACACATTCTCCACTGCAGTATACCTTATAAACAGACTGCCATCTCAAGTTACCCAAAATAAGACACCCTACTCACTTATGCTTCATAAGGAACCTGACTATAAGCTCCCAAAACCCTTTGGTTGTGCTTGTTATCCATGCCTCAAACCCTACAATCAACACAAGCTACAATTTCATACAACCAGATGTGTGTTCCTAGGCTATAGTAACTCTCACAAAGGGTATAAATGTCTCAATTCCCATGGCAGAATCTTTATATCAAGACATGTTATTTTCAATGAAGATCACTTCCCATTCCATGATGGGTTCCTCAATACAAGAGGTCCTCTAAAAACAACTAACAATCCATCATTCTCTTTTCCCTTGTCTTCTGCAGGTAATCCTATCAATGATGAAATTCTTGAAGTAGATATCTCAAATGAAGTGAACTCAGCTGATTCACAAACTGAGCAACAATCACAAGATGACAACAATGCCACATAAATTAACAACAATATCATAGAACAATATGAAGATACTATACTAGATGGTGCAACTCATCCAGAGATACAACCTAACACAACCCAGCAAAGTACAAGTGAAGCAAGCAATGCAGGCATCATACAAACCAAAAGCAAGTCAGGTATTCACAAGCCAAAACTTCCTTACATTGGTCTAGCTGAGACCTACAAAGATACAGTGGAGCCTACAAATGCCAAGGATGCTCTTACAAGGCCCTTATGGAAGGAAGCAATACAAAATGATGTTCAAGAACTCATGTTTAATAAAACTTGGACACTAGTCCCTTATCAAAATGAAGAAAACATAGTTGACTCAAAATGGGTCTTCAAGACCAAATACAAGTCAGATGGTACCATAGAAAGGAGAAAAGCTAGGCTAGTTGCCAAAGGATTTCAACAAACAGCTGGCATTGATTATGAAGAAACCTTCAGCCCTGTAGTCAAAGCTAGCACTGTTAGAATCATTCTTTCAATTGAAGTCCATCTCAATTGGGAAGTCAGGCAACTAGACATTAACAATGCTTTCCTAAATGGATATCTCAAGGAAACAGTGTTCATGCATCAACCTAAAGGATTTGTTGATCCAACCAAGCCTAACCACATATGCATACTATCTAAAGCAATCTATGGACTGAAGCAAGCACCAAGAGCTTGGTTTGATAGTCTCAAGGCTGCATTATTGAAGTGGGGCTTCCAAAACACAAAGAGTGATTCTTCTCTTTTCCTTCTAAAAGGTAAAGATCACATTACTTTTCTGCTTATCTATGTGGATGACATAATAATTACAGGAAGCAACACCAAGTTCCTTCAAGCTTTCATCTCTCAGCTTAATGATGTATTCTCTCTCAAAGACTTGGGTCAGCTACGTTTCTGGGCATAGAAGTGAAAAGAGATGCCAGTGGAATGTATCTCAAATAATCTAAGTACATCAGGGACTTACTGAGTAAATTCAAGATGGACAAAGCCTCACCATGTCCCACACCTATGATAACATGTAGGCAGGTCACAATTGAGGGAGAGAAACTAAATGACCCAACTGTGTTTAGACAAGCCATAGGTTTCTTACAATACTTGACTCACACAAGACCTGATCTAGCATTCTCTGTAAACAAACTCAGTCAATACATGAGCTCACCAACACTTGAACACTGACAAGCCATAAAAAGAATCTTTAGGTATCTCCAAGGCACCATAAATCATTGCTTACACATCAAGTATCCACTGATTTGGACATTCATGGCTTCTCTGATGCAGACTGGGCCACTAGTGTTGATGACAGGAAATCCATGGCTGGTCAATGTGTGTTCCTTGGTGAAACACGTGTTTCCTGGTCATCAAGGAAGCAAAAGGTGGTATCAAGATCAAGCACTGAGTAAGAATACAGAGCCCTAGCTGATCTAGCTGCTGAAATAGCATGGATTCGTTCATTACTTGCTGAACTCAAAATCCCACTTCCAAGAAAACCCATATTGTGGTGTGATAACTTGAGTGCCAAGGCACTAGCCTCAAATCCTGTTCTGCATGCTCGTTCCAAACACATTGAAATTGATATTCATTATATCAGAGATCAAGTACTACAAAATGAAGTTGTTGTGGCCTACGTTCCTACAACTGATCAAATTGTAGACTGCCTCACCAAACCATTAAGTCACACACGTTTCAGCCAGCTTAGAGACAAACTTAGTGTTATCCACTCACCACCAGTTTGAAGGGGGAATTAGAAACATGATTCCTTAATATCAGCATCATGTTCCTAGTATTGAATGTATAGTCAATAGCACTTATGTGCTAATTATAGGCATCAATATTATGTTTCCATATTGTGTGTACAACCATCATTATTAGAGTTATTGTTGTAGGATCATGGTCTCTACTTTCATGTATATATATGTATGTTACTGATCAATACAAATATAACAAGTTTATATATATTGCAATTGTTCTAACATCTCTTATTTAGATGGTGATTTCTAGATAGAATTTTACTAGGTAGAGGTTAAGTGAAGAGTTGTAAACGAGGGAGTTTAGCTCTAAATTAATATTGTTAATAGTGAATTCATTCCTGCCTTGGTAGCCTCTAGATATAGGTGTTGTTGTTCACCGAACTGGATCATCATATTCTATGTTTTTTTATTATTCAGTTATATTTTGTTTAATCTGCTCTCTTGATCAGAAGTTTATGTATTGACTGATGTTGGGACATCTGTCACGACATTGTTTTATGAACCTGCAATTTTGTTGAAGCTTCGTGGTTCTGCCCATATTTAAACATTATACAGAGATAAATATCTCGACATCTTTTAAGACATTTGTGATCTGCTATGCTAGAATTTCACTTTCAAAGACTTAAGTTTAGACTTCTCTAACATTTCTCTAGCTGCTTCTCTTTCATTACTAATGACTATAGAGAATGATGGCTATGAATACATTTAATGACATTTGGAGTTAAGTTTCATTCGTCTAAACAAATAGTATCTCATCTTAAAAAAAAAATAACAAAATTTAATCATTGATTTTTCACTCCAAAACAGTGAAACAAAATCATATTCATGGAGTACAATTAGTGAATTAAGTTGACAAGAAGTGAGAGTAACAAAATTATTATTCGGCATTGAAACAAGAAAGGAGAGCAACAAAATAACGAATAGGACATGGAATAACAATGTTTCCCATTGGGTGTTCAAAACCAAACTCTTCCTCAGCACGACTCAACAAGGCCTGAAACATAGGTTGCTTCAAGTAAGATATAGGGACCACAAACCGCCTCATACATTCATCATCCTTATCACCAACATACACAGCAAAATGTCCTCTTGGGACATGAACAATTTTCTTAGAACCCTGTCCTGAAAAATGGAGCTTTGAGTACTGTTTAGACCGTAGTCGTAAGTTTTGCTTTGCACGTTGAATTATCTTCAGAAGCAGAAGAAACCCCATGTTTGAATTGAACCCTACTAATTAGTTTCTAATTATCAAAAAGTTCAAACATGCATGCTAGCTATGAACCATATGCATGGTAGTAACAACTTAATTATAGGGTTATTATTTTTTCATGATGAATTGTTGCATGTATATATACACACACACAGGACTATGAATTTTTATATAATATTTAGTATACTAGTTTGATCATGTAACAGGTCCAACATGGATTAAATATTGATTCAATTGTGCACCGCTTTCTGATGTGTTTTCTTGAATTGACCATGTTGTTGACGTCAGTTGTTTGATGAATCAATATGAATAATAATCAATGACGATGAATTCGTCAATTATTTCTAGTTATTCGTTCCCTATCTTTTTTTATCGATTCAGCTTATAGCTACCTACATGTTTATTATTATTATTATCTTCAAAATTCTAGTCTAAATTTATCACGCAACGACATTGCACATATGAAACAAGAAAAGAATGACGACGAGGGAGAAACTATAAGAAGACCAGATCATAGATAAAAAGAAAAAAAACACAATTGACTTGAAGAGTGCATTCAGAATTAAAGAGGGCGTATCAACAATTTTTCTACTTTTACTATTCTAGTTTCTGTGGCTTTTTTTTCAAAAGTGGTGCAGATCCATTTTGTTTAGAAAATTCTAAGTATTTAAGTGGTATTGTTGCTCTAGCAAAAATTAATGAAAAGTCTAAAGTTTGTTTTTATGTATTTTTTTCTAGATCTAGATCTAAATTAGTCTTAGCTATAAATATTTTATTGGTGCTTTCATTCATTCAATACCTCGTGAGTCTAGAAATCATTCTTCTAAGAGCTTAGATAATTCTACTTAAGCTCCTCATTAAGATATTAAAGATGCAACCAACCACACTCATCATCAAATGGATTAGAGATTTCATGAAGCAAGTCAAAATTTGAAAAAGCAATTGGAATATTCATACTAGAATGGATAATCAGCCATAATTTTAAACATAAATCTATTATGACTCTTCTCACCAATTTAATAGTTCAAAGTGGACTGCATCAATCCACCAATCTACACACATTAACGTCATCATCAAGTATACCTATCATCTAGTGACACTACTAAAAATAAGAAATATGATTTAAGAATTTTACACAACTAAAATATATATATATATATATATATATATATATATATATATATATATATATATATATATATATATATATATATATATATATATATATATATATATATATATATATATATATGTATAATTTTGGTTAAATAATTTTACATTAGATTTTAAGATATATGATGTGAAAAATATTTGTCAAAGGATATTACATCAGATTTATTAACAATATGATATGAAAAATATTTGATTTAAGGTTTTTACATCAGACATATATTTTTTTCGATGTAAAAAATAATGCGGTGACAGTTTCGTAAATAATAAGAAAATTTGTTATAAAGGATTTCACATCGCTCATGTATTTGCAACCCATGTGAAAAGTTCATTAATGGAAAAAAAAAACAAGGTGGCAGTTTCGTAAATAATGTGAAGATTTATTATAAAGGATTTTACATCGGGTCATTCAATACAACCGATGTAAAAGGTCTCGTGAAGGATTTTACAACGGTCCATTAATTACAACCGATGTAAAAAGTGTCAGGCCTTTAATGGATTTCACATCGAATCATTAACATAGATGTAAAATGTTTTATGTGAAAGCATTTTACATCGGCCCACATGCCAATAGATGTAAAATGTTTTATGTAAAATCTTCCTTAAAATCTCAAACCTTACCCAAAAAACATAACATTCTCAAAAACCCAAAAACCCAGCATTTCTTCTTCGCTTCATTCCCTCAAACGCAACATCGACCATATTTTCTCCCAGTGTGTATCTTCTTCTTCCATCGTCGCCATCAACTGTCACCTGCAAAGCCAACTTCTTCTTCCACCGTCGCCAACAACCGTCATCATCAGATCTCCCCCCGCCATTTGTCATCGCCGTCGGATCTCCCTCCCCCGTATTTCGTCGCCATCGAAACTCCCTCCGCCATTTTCCGTCGCCATCATAACTCCCTCCGCCATTCTCTACGAGCTCCTAAAAGGTTAGAGTCTTCCTTTCATAAATTCTTTGAATCCCATTATATTTCTTGAAAAGGTTAGAGTCTTGAAAAGCTTTTCCTTCTCTCCCGAACTTTGAATCTCATTATATTTCTTGAAGGAAATTGAGTTTATAGTTACTGTAAAATTGAATTTCTGCAATATCCATACCTTTTATCTACAAAAGTTGCAGTTGCCTTAAGGTTCGTTCGACGCCATATCGAAAAGCTTGCAGGAATCTCTAATTCTATCAGGTTGGTTTCCGATCACTTTCTTCAATGTTGACTACGTATATGCATGCTGTCTATATATATTATGCCTTTGAATCCCATTATAATACTTCTTGAAGGAAATTGGGTATAGAGTTAGAGTTAAAATATAAACTCTAATATGGATGTAGAGTTAGAGTTAATATTTTCTTAAAGAGTTTGATTCAAATTGCTTGTTCATGATATTTCTTTTGGACACATTGGAACTTGAAAAAATATTAAAGAGTTTGATTCAAATTGCTTGTTCATAAGATTTCCTTACTCCTTAGTTCTTTTGGAAGATGAAATTGGATGAATTTTGGGTGAGTCTTGAAGATAAAAATGTCAAATAATTTTGATTTCAATTTGGTTCTATTTAGGTTTAAATTGAGTAATAGAATTTTTATGATAATACAATTTTGTTAGGAATAATTTTTATGATATAATTTAATGACACGTGTTTATACGTAGAGACTTTTGTTCTCTCTAATGTGTCCAAAAGAGGGACTATTGTAGGCGTCCCAATGATTTAACTTTGTATGTGTTAATTTTGGAACATAGGTATGGATCGTAGTTGGATGAGAGCTAATCGATTAAGTGCTGAGTACGAACATGGAGTGATGGAATTTCTACAATTTGCTTAAAGTAATGCTAAAAAAGATCTTCCTACTCCTAAAAGTAATGCTGAGAAAAGTCATCATGTGCTTTTTCTCTGTCCATGTGTTTGTTGTGCAAATCAAGAACCAAAACTTAATAAGAAAGAAATTATGGATCATCTAATTTGTGAAGGGATTTGTCAAAGTTAAACACAATGGATATGGCACGGTGAAGTAGCAGTAAAGTCAAATATGACCCAAAGAGATAATGTTAGTGTAGAAATCGATGATCGTCTGGAAGATATGATTCGTGATATTGGACAAGATTCGTTTAAGAGGGCACATGCGTATGATACTTTATGCAGTGACAAGGATAAACCTTTGTACCCGGGATATACAAATTTTACACATTTGCCAGCCGTGTTAAAATTGTTTAATTTGAAGGCAGATAATGGATGGATTGACAAAAGTTTTACCGAATTGCTTGAATTGTTGACACAAATGCTTCCAGAAGGTAACATAATGCCAAATCGTTATTACGAAGCGAAGAAATTATTGTGTCTGATGGGTTTGGAGTATGAAAATTATTGTGCCCTAATGATTGCATATTATACAGAAAAGAGTATGTAAACTATAATCATTTTTTGAAGTGCAAGGCGTCACGCTACAAAAAGAAAGACGGTGATTCTAGTGATGATGAGATGGTAAAAAGGGTCCTCCCGCAAAAGTAGTATGGTACCTACCAATAATTTCACGACAGAGTGAACTCACAATCGCGGACCCCAAATGAAGGCTCTCTTCGCGCAAAGTCAATTTCCCTTCCTCGACACACGAACTGACTCTAAGTCATTAACCTCATGCCTGAGTGCAACGACTTAGGGGGCTCCTGTTCTGGACTGGGCCTGTGGTTGAGTCTAACTCAAACACAACCCAATCCAGTACTATGTCAAGGACGGCCCAGCGTGCTGGCCCAACTCATTAGGGCAAGTAGAAAACACATTCCAACGTGCTCTTTAGCCGATGACACATCATCAACCGACTCACACGCCTCGTGGAACCTTTCTTCCCTTTACAACGGGCAAGTCCTTCCACTAACTGGGGAATGCAGAGCGATTGACCTAGGACGACGAGCATGAGCTGCTTACCCCTGCATCCACGTAGGAATCCTGACAATCATCCATTGTGGGCTTGAACACATAGCCCATAACAAAGACCATTGGCCCAGTGTTAGGGGCTCACTATAAAAACCCTCCTCTGCAGGAGGGTCAAGTATTTTGTTCTTACCCTTTATTACTCACCTCTTCACCCGAACTAACTTAAGCATCAGAGTGTGTCATACCCCAAAATTTCCCTACCTATAATATTTCATTTGTGCTTTCATCCACTAACATTTATTCAAAAAAATCCAAAGATAGGAATTTGCTTTTTTTTCTTGTTGCTTGGTGCCAAGTGTTGCAAGTTTGAATTGGGTTTCAGGCATGGTTATCAAGTTAAATGTGTGTGCAGTCATAGTTGAGATCCAAGTGGCAGTTTGACTTAATCCTGGTTAAACAAATTGGAATAGCGTCATTTACAAGTTACATGTGTTATTGGATCATTTGGAAGACAAACGTGGATTATATTCAAATACTTTGCGTTTAAGGGTCTAAGCTAGGTTTTCTTTTGTGTGTATGCAAAGCTCAGGTTACAGAATATCTGAGCTTGGTGCATTTGGCCTCATGGTTCAAAATCAGCAAAAAGTGTCTATTCTTCAAGGTCTTGCATTGCCCATTGTTACCTTCTGCTTAAAGAAGAATTCAAGAATAGTTTGAAATGTGAAACATGGAGTTATTGTGGAAATTTGAGTTTTATTCGTCATTGTTTTTGATCGAAGAATTCAAGGAATTACAAGAATGGAAAATGATGATAAAAGACAAAATTCTCAAAGTCTAAATCTTTTTTTTACCATTACACCAAATGTGATTTATAAGCAAATAAATCAGTTTTCCATAAAGGCCCATGTTACTTTTATCCATCACAGTATTGCTACAAAAAAGGGTCCTTGAGTAATATTCAAAAGCCCA